AACTGTGCCATAACTAAGTTCTCATTTCTCATCAGGTTCATTTTTAAGCATTTTATGATTCTGACAAATGCTTTGTTGAATCAAGTCTCACTATATCTTAAGAGAATTTCTTAATATAAATATCTAATATCCTGACTAAAAAAATCACTGGATGTTTTAAAGTAAAGGGAACTGAAGCCAAGGAGATTAAGTACCTTGCTAGAAGTCATAGAATTTGTTGGTGGCAGAAACAGGGCTGCCATACAGATTGCTATGTGTTCAACAAAACAGCTTTTTCTTTTCCTCCTGGTAATACTATAGCTAGACTACATTTCCCAGCCTTTCTTGCAGATAGGTATGGACTTATGATGGAATGAACTGTGTCAACCCCAGGCTAATGTGGCTAAGAGCAGGTATGCCTTTTCCTTCCTTCCTCCCTTCCTCCCTCCCTCTTCTCTCTCTCTCTCTCTCTCTCTCTCTCTCTCTCTCTCTCTCTCCCTCTCTCTCTCTCATTTCTATCTCTATCTCTCTCTCTCTCTCTCCTTCCTGAGTTGAATGGACAGGACTGAGAACTCAGATGAAGGAAGAGGTAAAATGCACTCAAATAAGAACACTCCCATAGACTGTACTCATGGAACTCTGACATTGGATTGAGATATAAGCTAGCAGTGCCTGACTAATACATATTTCTACTAAATCCTCCCAGCCCAGTGCATTTTCAGTGCCAAACAAATATGGGCCCTAAAAAAATGTTCTTGGAGATAACTGTCAATAATAATAATGAAGGCAAAATATATATTTTCTAGAAAGGATGTACTGTATACTATGAATATTATTGGTGTGATGACCTGGAAAATCCAGTATTATATACTCAACTTTACATTTAAGATCATAAACATAAAAATGTACTGAGAAATGTATATATGTTGCTTACACAACTAAGTGAGAATTAGAATCTAACAGAAAACATAAACAAAAACAAATAATGGTAGCTTTGATGAATAATAATTTGAAGATTTAAAACATTTTTAATAGCACATAATTTGTTTTATTCTGTCAATATACTGACAAATGATTATGAATATTAATAATCTAAGGATGAGAGAAAATTAGAAAAACTAATTTTAATAAGCTACAAATCCTTTCTAGGACAAGATAAAGTGAAGTAAATAAATCAAGTTCTTTCCTAGGGTTTCTATATTTTGTATTACATTTCTTATACTTTATATTACATTCTCAGAAATGACTAGAAAATGAATTTGTTGATGATTGGTTTGGGTGGACACATGATCCAAACAAGGTCAATCAGAATTAATCTCAAGATGTTTGTTGATGTTCTTTAAAAAGTCACTCTCTTCCCACTGAGTTTGCTAAGCTGATAAAAAGAAAACTTGAAGCTGCTAGTGGCTTTTTTGCTGCCACATGAGAAAATGCCATCACAAAGGAAAACAGAATCTAGAGAGGGAGAAAAACAGATTTCTGGATTTATTTGAGTATCTGGATCCGGCCAGATGTCTGAAGCTAGGCTCTGTTCATGGACTCTCAATGTACTTACATAAAGCAAAAGTTTCTAGCTTTTGCTTAAGTTAGTTGAACTGGACTTCGGTCTTTTTCAAACAGAGTCCTAATTAATATATATATTAGGGCCAAAAAAGCAGGTTGCAAAAAAAGTATGTAACAATAAGATTCAGATTTTTATTCTAAAAACACACTTGTTATTGTGTATGTTTAGAAAATATACTGGAAGTACACTTCCCCAAATTGTTAATGATTATTTTGGGGTGGCAGGGAAATCAGATGTTTTCATTTTTGCCTACTCTATTTTCCAATGTCTCTATGACAAAAATATGATGCAATATGGTAAAAAAAAAACTGATTGAAAAATTAAATCCAAAGAACTCGGAAGAGTTTTATTCAGCTGTCTTCACCTCTTGCACTGCTGATTTTAACCCCTAAACAATTCTTCACTTGTACAACATTAGTGAGTTTTAGCTGGACACAGCTACACACTCAGGTAGAGAATACATTTCTGAGTTTCTTACAACTAGCTGTGGTCATGGGACTGGGTTTTCAACAATGAAATGTGAGCAGAACTGATATATCTAACTTGTGTTATTTGATTAATGTCCTCCTTTTTGGTCTTTGTCCTTTCCCACAGGCTAGAATGCAGAGGGGAACTGAGTAAGTTTTGACCATAAAGAAAGGAAGACACAATATGGAAGGAATCCCAGTCTCTGAGTTGAACCTGTGAAGCAGAGCTACCTAGCTGCCCTGAGCCACTTGCCATCTGTTAGGTGG